TTTAAAAAGTTTGCTCAACCAAGCCAGAAAAAATATTGAATTGTCTTTTAATTCACTCTATACAAAATGAAATTACAGGCCGGGCTTGGCAGCTCAGCCTGTAATCCCGTGCCTTGGGAGGCTGAGGTGAGTGGATTGCCTGAGCCCGGGGGTTCGAGACCCTCCCGGGCAACTTGGCGAGACCTCATCTCTCGATAATAAATCAAAAAATCAGTCGGGCATGGTAGCGCATGCCTGTAATTCTGTCTACCTGGAAGGCTGAGGTGGAAGGATCGCCGGAGCCCGGCAGGTTGAGGCTGCGATGGCCGGGAGCGGCCACTGCACTCTAGTCTGGGCGACAAAGTAAGACTCCAACTCAAAAAAAAAAAATTACAAATTGCTGATAATTAAAGAATAGTTGATAATTAAAGGGGTGGACAAAAAATGTACAGCCAAAAATGTGTAAGTATTAAAAAGGTATATCAAGCAGTTAGTGTAAATATGTTATTTTTATGAATTGTACAATATCTATGGTAATTGTCAGCTTTCTACAACTGTGTAATGTGTTGTTATTCTTTCCTTATTTTAAATAAATATCCACTTTTGTACCTAATGTTATACTAAAATTTCGTATTTTTTCTTTAAAATTCAAATCCAGTATTTAAATCAATGTTACCCAAGAACTCATTAAAAAATCACGTAGTACTAAATTTTTAAGAATCAGATAGCTCTTTAGTCGCATTTAACAATTATAGTAGGATAGTCACATCATCCTCTTCTCTAGCATAATCCATAAAACTAAAATAGAAAGGTTAGATCATAGCCAATATTCAAGACCATTGGTTTCTCCATTTCTCTGACTTGTTGACTTCTTTTAGGTTAGTTGATATGCTGATACCCAAAAATATTTACCAAGCAGTGAAAAGAATCCAAGAACAGTTGTGTCCAAGGAGCTTGCAAATCTATCCTACCAGGAAAGGAAAACATGACTTCTGAAATATACTAAGTAAGAGATGAGTATGTAAAGAGAGCCACAGAGTTCTCCAGGAATGCCAAAGAGGGAAAGACAACTTGCCAACAAAGGTGATCGGGAACATCTCAAGAGGTTACAGAACTGATTTATTCATCCCCCATCCCATTCCAGAAATGATTTAATGTCATTTTGCATAGAGTGAATTAACAGATAAACCTATTAATGCAACAAGAGAGAAAGTTGGAGCAAAATAAAAAGACAAAGAGACCATAATAAGGAGCCAGAAAACAGGGCTACAAGTATCCCATAGTGCCTTCTCCATTTGTCCCAAGAAAACCTTGAACGTGGCTCTTGGTGTCCAGGTGAGCCTTGAAGTGAAGGTAGGGGTCTGGGTTGAATAGCAATGAAACAACTGCAAAACTGAGAATTAGGGGGTTTGTGATGTTTTCCCCACAGCAGCCACCCTTTCTCTGGCCCAGACATTAAGCACTGGAGGATGGGGTTATTCTAACAGGCACTGTACCCCGATTAGGCCAGGGCAGTCACGCTGTATTGTAAGTTATACCTTGAAAGTCCAAATCAACAAAACACATGTGACATTCACATGGCTTCCATATTTTAGCTGCTATGGTAGAAAAACACCCCCGGCTAGTGGCTGTGAGAGTGCAGCACCCAACACAGCCCACACAGCCTTCCCTGGGTCCTTCAGAGCCCCCTCCAATGCTGTTTTTGTGTTTAACTGGCATATTTGCTTTTCACATCAGAAGATGTTAAGTACATCCAAAGAAAACTAAAATTTCAATACAATTTTATTCTTATATTACTGCTATAAGTGATCAAAAGCATGTTATTTTGAGGACAATATATTATACTCTGAAACTTTAGCATTCCTAGAGCACAAGTTCTATATACATCTTTCTCTAAAACTATACCCAACGCTACACAACAAGAATGCCTGACTATTGTAGGTATCGTTAACACTAACATCCCGACTGATGCACACAGTGATGGGATCCATCCTCAAGTTACAGGCGCAACACACACCCATTAAAGGATATTCTGAAAACACAAATAAGCAAAAGGAAGAAAACAAAAGATCCTAATGTGCTCCCAAAGCTGAATGCCACCAGTCTGCATCGCTCCTCCATCGGCTCACCCCGACTCTTGTGGGCACACCCTCTCCCTGAACAGAGGCCCACGGAGACACCTGTAGGCACACAGAAAGGACACTGGTACTGTGGCAGATGATCGCTGCCAACCTGTATTTAGAGAACGCTTTTCAAGGGGCTTCAGCACACCTTCCTTATAATTGGATCCTCTTGCTCATCTTTACCTACATTTTTATGAAACTGGAAATTGTGCACATTGCAACAGGGATTACCGGCTAGTCAGGTTTTTTTCTTTTCTTTTTTAAATACAGAGGTTACTTGCATTACTCAGTTTTAGTCCATAGAATAATTTTTTAAAATTAATGAAATTAATTTTATTTATACACAGCCCGATGTTCCTCAATGTCACCTGATAGAACCTGAGTGAACCCCTGCAGCTCCAGATGTCTCAGATCTGGGGAACTACCTCCCCTTTCACAAGCCAGTCTCTTGAGAGGCAGCAGAACTAAAAGACTCAGGAATTGGGGAACAGGGAGGCAGACTCCATCCCAACTTGACTCATTATGTAATACCGACTGAAGCTGGAATGGTGCATGCAACCCAGGCCTCAACTGTGTTCACACGGGAGGGAGACACGTTGGCCACGTCTGGAAGGCTGGTTTAGAAGCAGACAAGGCTATTCACAGAGTGCTAAGGAACCATCTGGGAAAGCCAATCATTCTAAAGCAGAGCCACAAGGGCGGCCGAGCATCATCAGCTAGAGTGGGGATTTTGAATGCAGTGGAGTGTCTCTCACTTGGGTCACTCTCCCTTGGGGTGAAGAAGCAGTAATAAAAAGCAGATGAAAGTCAGGAGGCATTTTATGCAAAACTCTAAGAGACAGGAGAGCAGAAGAGAGCACAGGTATGTGGCACATAGAACCCAGTGCCTTACCACAGGACATGATTGCAACTTGCCATGGCACAGAACACATGTGGGCACAGCTTGAAATGGGCATGGAGAAGAACAAGGAGCCACCGGAAGACACCCAGGCTCGTCCCAAAGGCCAAAATCATGATGAAAGGGATTCATACATCTGGCTACTTGAAATTAGGAAACTTCTATTTTAAAAAACCCAGAAATAAAAGGAAAAATTGATATAATACATGATCACTTTAAGAGTAATATCATTTCTACATAAAAAGCTATTTTAAGTCAATAAGGAGATAATTGTCAACCCCAAAAAAGGAAAAGAAAAAGCAAACAGGGAGTTCATCAAAGAATTATAAATGGACAATAAGTATTTTTTTTAATGGGCAAATTTGCTAGAAATAAGAAAAATGCAACTATCTTGGACTAAAATGTTTCTGCTTTAAAATATATTTTATTATAGTTTTACCAATAATCTGTGCATATATATGAGTGTATATTTGGGCTTTTGGAATCAGTCTGGGTTAAAAATCCCAGTTCTCCTACATACTAACTATGGGATATTGGATAAATTTAGCCTCTATAAACTTCAGCATTCTCATTTATAAAATAGAGATAACAGTACCTATATCACAGTATTTTCATGAGGAGTGAATTAAATCATGCATATAGGTACAAAATACTGTGCCTAGCACACAGTAAGAATTTAACAAATGTTTTCTGTCTTATTAATAGCTATTCTGGCATATTGAGGAATTATGAGACTGTCTGGCTCATTGGAAATTTGGATCATCTTACTTCTTCCAGTTTTGTGAACACTCCAAGATCATGCACACACACACACACACACACACACACACACAACGGACAACTATTATCAAAGACTGAAAAACTGATGCCAAAATAATGAGATCAGTTTTAACAGCTATTTGGGTCTTGATCTTTAAAATGCCACTCCAAAGTATAACATAATTCTTGGCTCTATTATTTTTCTGCTATTGGTAAGATTTTATGTGTGTGTTTAAGGAAGTTCAAATCAGGGATAAAAGACAGATGCACAACATAAATTCAAAAAATATTTTATCAAAAGGTGCTGTAAAGTCATACATTGAATTATTTTATCCTTTTTAGAACTTATATTTTTAGCTGGGCACAGTGGCTCATTCCTGTAATCCTAGCACTTTGGGAGACTGAGGCGGGAGGATCGCTTGAGCCCAGAAGTTGGAGATCAGCTCGGGCAACATAGTAAGACCTCTTCTTCACAAAAAGTCAAAAAATTAGCCAGGCATGGCTCCTGGACTGCAGTGGCATAAGGACGGCCCCCCGCAGCTTCGACCTCCTGGGCTCAGGTAATCCTTCCACCTCAGCCTCCTGAGTAGCCGGAATTATAGGTACGACATCACACTCAGCCAATTTTTTGACTTTTTGTAGAGAAGAGGTCTTGCTATATTGCCTAGGCTGGTCTCAAACTCCCGAGCTCAAGCAATTCTCTTGCCTCTGCCTCCCAAAGGGCTGGGCCCATGGCATGCCTCACCACACTCGGCTAATTTTTAGTTTTTGTAGAGATGAGGTCTCACTATTTTTGCCCACGCTGGTCTTGAAATCCTGGGTTCAAGTGATTCTCCCATCTCATCATCCCAAACTGCTGGGATTACAGGCATGAGCCACCACATCTAGCCATAGAAACACGTTTTCAAGAAGTAACAAACCTGTCTTATAACCTTTCCTGAACGAGGCTATCAAAAGTGAACAGAAGTGTTGTGTTTTGCAACTACAGACATATGCAGAGCCATGAAATCTTTGTACTGGGCTTCACAGGCTGCATGAAATTCATCTAATGGTTGACTCTGGCCCAAAGGCTGTAAGTTGTTCACTCCTACACTTGACAGTTAAAAGGATTACATTTTCTGCTGCATCTCCTGAAAAAGGATGCCAGAAATAATAACTAATACATCCTCTGTAGTTTTTTGACACTTTACACATAGAAGAACCATGTACGACTTTCCCCTTTGTACTGACAAGCATTTCAAAACAGGAATAGACATATATTTGTTTAAATAAATCAGTCTTACAGCTGTCATCCTAAGTTGAAATGGGTAAAATCTTTTATTTCTTACATATAAAAACCTTAATTTTTATTGTAATGAAGTGTGACTCCTTTTACGACCTATATTTTTTTAAAGGTGTCACCCATTAGGATAATGAAAAGAGGCTGTTAACATACCAGCTTCCGTGAAGATATTTTAACCTTTTTCATACAATACTAGAAAGCCTACTTTCTCCAACTCTTAGCTTAATAGAGTAAATCATATGTAGCAGTTTCTTTATTTATAAAATAATCACATTCAAGTCTCACAAAGTTTTCAATGCCATTTCTTTCCACTGATGAAATCACAGAGCAGTCACTTATACAACCTTCTGATTATAAAGCAAATACAAGATACTGTTTGACAATGAGATGTTTTATTAAACTCGATACATTCATTTACTATATAACAATTCTGTGAAAAAATGGGGTATCAAATTTTGGATCTGGATATTTGCATTAAAAATTCTGTCCAAAACTATGTCATCTTGCTATATCCTGTGACTATAAGCATACAGATGACAAAGGCAGCTACCTCCTTTGCTGGTAAGACAAGACAAGTTTCAATTGGCTTGTCCACAGCATTACAAGTCCCCCTAGGAAATAAAAAGTCCCAGTCCCAGCTCTACATAGTATCATATCCAAGAAGGTAAAGCTTTATGCAGCACCTGGGCAACCCCTACATCTGTGCTTGGCGTGAGGTTCACACAGGTTCAGCCTTAGGAAGGGCATCTTCCTCTCAACAGAACAACTCTACTTGGATTATTCTGAGACTCCTTGTGTAGGTGAAACTTCTGGGGGAAAAAGAGAGAGAGAAAACGTCTGAATGATGACAGGAATACTCTAGTGATTCAATTCAGCTGCACCAATGCTAAGAGGAAGGAGGAAGTTGGAAAACAAGCAGCTTTGCAAAATTCTCTCTGGTATAATTAAAACTGACCAGAGTGTCACTGTTTCTGATGTGGCATTTGTGAAGGCCACCCATTCTCTTACCAGGCATGGGTGTCTCTGTAATGAGGTGCCTGTGGTTCGTAAACAGTTCTGTGGAGTCTTGTTCTACTGATCTTTCCTCTAGGTCTGATTCTGGGATCGTAGTACAGCCACCTAGTTGAAAAATACAAACAATATATCAAGCCATGTGTAAGAAAATCTCCTCTCTACACAGCAACCACAGCTTAGGAACATACCAATCATAAAGATAATAAATGATGTGACAACAATCTTCGGGAGTGGACCAAAAAGAATAATCTTAAATGTTTCTCTTTGGTAAAAATACTGGAAATGAATTACTGCCCCTAAAGACATGTTATACTGATTATGACTTGGCAATAGCAGTAACAGTGTTGTCTTAAATTTATCCTTTGTAAAATCAGAAAGGACAAAACCTATAGCATATGTGATATCCACAATAAAATGGTCCCTCAGCAGGAATTCCCTTTAATGTCAGAATATCAGAAACTATAAAAGAAACAAAGCACATGAACCAGGAGGGAAAGAACCCTTCCTTGAGCAGAGAGCAAGGCTGCTCATGTTCTGAGATGGTGGCTGTGGTGGTATTTGTCTGGAATTGGATTCTATCCAAAATCCCAACACCTACGGCAAGACGCAAACACTTCATAATTCAACAGCAAAGCCATGAACTGCACTGTGGAAGATTTCAATCCAAAGGTGACTTGAGGATGAGCTGGCACCGCCTTTGAAATACTGTGTATAACTCATTTCACCTTATCCACCAAAATCTTGTATGGGAAACTCACAATCATGTGAGAATTTCCTGATGACATCTGCATTTTGATTTGACTAATTTCCACCATTTCCTGGAAACGTACTAACATGTTGTATACCGTATGCATTTTTTTCCAAAGCCATTCTTGTTAATGAAGTGTGATTTCTTTTTTCTGAGGCTTCTCACACACCGAGTCCAAAGCCTCAGGACTCAAGTTTAGTTTTATGCATGAGGGGGTTTATGAAGTTCACATCATTCTGAGGCAGAGAGGGTATCAGCAGCACTGACTTGAAAACCACATCACTCAAATGAGAGGGAAGTGGCAAGGCCCCAGGTCTGAAGGAAAATACACCTTCCCCTCCAGCTCTCTGCATCAACTCTGAAACAGAAATCGATGGTGAGGGAAACATGAGAGGACGGCATTTCCACATGCATAAAATAAGAATTAGAGGTAGCCTCAGGTTCCCCAAACAGGAAACATTAGAATTATCCGCTAGTGTAATGGAACTTGCCCAGCTATACCTAAAAATGGCAAGAGCCCTATCCAGAAGGAGAACCAGGCTTATTTTTAATCTCTTTCCAAGCCTGTAGGTCAGAGTAACAGGAATTATCATTATCGAGCACTTTCTAAGGGCTAGAAAGTCTGCCCATTTTATCTTATTTAATTCCCACACATCACACTACAAAATAGACATTATTATTCTCAGTTTACAGATAAGAAAACGGAGGTCTCATGAGATTAAGTATTTTGCCAAGGTCATGCAGCTCCAGTGCTGGTCACACAGAGGTGCTGGGACCTTTGGAGAAGCCTAAGAAATAGCCCCTTTCTTCTCCTTCTTTGTACTCACCCAACTGAGAAAAAAAGGAAAAGGATATGTGTGTGGGTGTGGGTGTGGGCATGGGGGCACCTCGGAGACTAATGGCAGGGAAGAGCAGAAGGGAAAAACGTGCTCCCTGCTGAACACCTGATCCCAAGAAAACAGGCAACAGAAGGATCAGGTTTCTTACTCCAGACTCAAATCAGCCTAGGCGATGTCTGAGAAGGCTGAGAGCAGGGGCAGGTCAGGAATGTGGCACTCACGCTGTTACCTTTACACACAAGAAAACTGCAGGAGTGAGGAAGAGGAGTTCCCAGCCAACAGATGGGAAGAGTACAATGAGTAGGCAGCCATGTCTGCCATGTGCTTGGGGACAGGAAGGTCTCTACTGACAAATTAGCCCAGTCAACCCAATCCTGGAGCAGGACAGAAGTGCAAAGACTTAAAAAGCAGTCTCTGGTTCTTTATCATGTGGACACAAAAGGAAAAATCAGTTGCTACAGGTTATCCACAACTAATGAAACTTCCTCCTTTCTCAGCCTTGCCGTGTGCATAGGGAGATGACAGCTGCCTGCCCCGGTACTCTGTCGCCCAGGTGCTGTATTGTGCACAGACTGTATGCATATCCCCAGACTCCACACCCACTGCAGGGGCCAACCAGTCACATGCCCTGGGAATGTCACCTTCCCATACTTCGGATGCCTCCATGCGCCCTGAGTCGCTGCCACTTCCAGCTTGGAAGGAACAAAGGCAAGGCACGTGGGCTCTGGCATCCGGAACAGTGGGACAGGGGAGAAGGAAAGGGGCTGAGCGGAGTATTCCCCGCCTGTTGCTCACCCCAGGGCTATACTGAATTAGTTCTTTTGCAGACCTACCAGAAGGGGCTGTGTGGAATGGCTGCACCTGCTCAGCCTCTTCACGGCTCTTGGAGAGAAGTGCTCACTGGCAGGCCTCACCACTTTGCAGGATGTCACATATTCCCTTGTTGCTTCCCTTTGAACTCATCCTCCCTCTCCGGAGTTTGTGCTCTCAAATAAATTGCCATCTTTTTAATTCTTGCCTCAGGCTCTGTTCTCCTGTGAAAATCATTGATACTGGAAATAGTTCTAAAAAGTAGGCCTTCCCTGTAATCCCAGCACTTTGGGAGGTTGAGGAGAGAGGATTACCTGAGCCCAAGGGTTCGAGACCAGCCTGGGCAACTTGGTGAGACTTTGTCTCTACAATATATAAAAAAAAAATTAGCCAGGCATGGTAGCATGCGCCTGTAGTTCTGGCTACTTGGAAGACTGAGGCAGAAGGATGGCCTGAGCCCAGCAGGCAGGTCGACGCTGGGGTGGCTGTGAGCATGCCACTGCATTCCAGCCTGGGCAACAAAGTGAGACTCTGACTCAAAAAAAAAAAAAAAAA